ACTGAATTGGACCAAAATGGAAGGAATTTTCTCCTAATTTCACAATGACCACGTTTCGGAGAAGGCTGATATAACATATTACATATTTTAGATAGTTCGCTTCAATTTTCCCCCCCTCCCGAGATACAGAATCAGATTTTACACTACGTTCGTAATTTTACATCACCCTTCATTAGTGATATCTATTACATTGTCTCAATGAAATTTTTAACTATTTTTGAAAAGAATTGTTTTTTATAAAGTTTTTATAAAAAATATATGTAAAACGCAGTATATGAGGGCTATACGAAAACTTGAAATGTAGAATACTATTTGGTTTACATTAAAATTATATTGAATGAGGTAGAATTGCACAATAAATTGAATTTCTAGTATTGTATTACCTAATGTGGAATTCACCTGCAGGACAAACAAAAATGCTATATGAAATAGTTTGCACAAAACACACGGTTACGAGCACTTTCACTTATTTCTTATTGCATTGCTTTCACCTTTCCACTAACCCACTTCAACGAAACTATTTTTTACCTTCATTTCGCTTTCAGATTCTAAAGAATCGATTTAATTCGCATCTTGCTAATAAATGGTATTTCATTGATTGAGTTGTTCTTTTTCCGGTGTCCGGTGTCCTTTTTCACGTCGCCTTGTTTGCTTTAATTAAATCTGCTGAGAGGTCTTCTGCGATCCTGTTTTCAACGTTCATTATTCCTTTCTTTTCTTCTTTTATTGAATCGTTTGACAAGTTTTTCATTTCTATCGGTGTGAAACACTCAACGCAACTGGATCAGCGAATATGCGACTATCCGTGTAGGTGGTAGAGATAATTGATGAGCATGGATGGCACTTGAACTTTGTACCAAATTTTTGTTTTCAAGCAAAAGTTTTACCTTTTAAGTTTTCGTGCATTTTCTTTTTTTGGTCTATACTAGAGCTGACAAAAACCGTTTAAAAGTTTTATCGGCAATTAAAGTACACAAATTTAATTTTAGCAAAATGCACAGCCTATAGAGGGTACAAAATGTGGTGAAGCAGGATAAAATAAAAAAAAAATTAGCGTTAGGATTTTTCTATTTAGAACAGTGTGGCTTGTTTGTTCGTGATACCATAGTATTTTGTTGTTGCAAAATGGTCAGGCTTATCCCTTTATTGTTGTTTTTATAAAAACAACGTTTGTTTATTAGTGGAGAATGATGGTAATGTTTACCAGGGGGTAAGGCAGGGAATACCTAGGTTTCGGAAAGAGCCACCAATCCTCATCAGTTCCCTTGTTTTTGTCTATTTTTTAATAATTTTTTTGCACTTTAATGTTTACATAAAACAGAGACCCTCAATTAGAGACTGTGCCAGATTGGAGATCATATATCACACTTCTGAACATTATTGTAGCTTAAAAAGGCACTTAGGAATCTAAATTGTAATTAGTTTAAATACAATGTGTTAAATTATATAAAACTAGTTTCGTTTCCGTGAGCCGTTTTTAACAACTTAATCACGAGGCGAAAAAAATCAAATCCTGGGTTGTAGGATAAATTTTCGTTAGTACATTAAGAAATCGAGAAGAAAAATTAGTCCCATGTTTCAGCCATGATTAGTTGGTGCAAAACATTAAGTGCATGACTAGAGACTTGACCAGAATGTATGTGGAATCCATTTCGGGTGGAATTGATTTCACATGATTAGTAGTTAGTGCACAACGTTTAACATTTATACCATTGATCAGAAATGTATGTGGAATTAGTTTCAGATGGAAAGATGTAACCCGAAACGCACTTCGAATCACTTATTCTGATTATAAATATATATATGTATATATATGTATATATATATATATATATATATATATATATATATATATATATATATATATATATATATATATATATATATATATATATATATATATATATATATATATATATATATATATATTTATATATATATATATATATATATATATATATATATATATATATATATATATATATATATATCCGAATACGTTTCTATGTCGATTTAACAATGTCCATCCGTAAAAATCACTTTAGCTTCCGAACGAAGTTAAATAGGTTGATGTATTTAATGTCTGCAGTACTTTTCATAGGTCCACGTTTTAGTTTAGCCCCCCTTGACTTTACCCCCAAATTTAAGGTGTTTTGGTTGATTTAGTCACAATGTTGAGCTGAATTTTCTGTGAATTGACAGTATATGTTCCCAGCATGTACATAACATGCTTGCATAGAACTGTCTATATAGGTCCAAATTTAGTTTTAGTCCCCATATAACTGTATTTCCAGATATTCGGTATTTTGATAATTTGTATCACACTGGATGCCTAAAGGTGCTAAATCTTATGATGAAAAATGACGGACACAAATACCTCTTACCGTACCTCTCAATATTCGATAATTAGAGTAGTAGGCACTGCCCACTCTGGCAGGATAATTTATTAAAGAGGTTATGTCTTAGCGCATTTGATTGTAACATGCAAAAGGAAACCCATGGTTTCTTTTGATGATTTTCATAGAATCACATTAAAAATTATTTATTTGACAACATCTCATTGTCAAAATTTATATTTATAAATTCAGTGTATACACAGAAATCAGAAATAGGAACCTGTCTTTATTCAGTGAAATGTCACAAGGTAAATTCAAGAAAATGTAGATATGGATAGCCTTATTAAAACCGCCTTTAGCTTCCTAATATTACCATGGCTCATATTTGGTAAAATTTGATATGTAGGTCTTCCATAGCCTTAGCATATTTTGACAAAAACAATTTAGATTTGGATATAGCTCTTTTATATATCTTTGTCTGATTTCAAGTATATTCTTTAACAAAAGTGTCATATAAGCCAACTAGGACAAAGTTTGCCGGAGACTACTGAATTTATCCTAAAAGCAAATATGTAAAATTTAATGAAAATCGGTTAAGATAGTTCATCTCTCGCATCCATATATATGTTTCATCTGTAGCTTCCATGCATATGATTCATCCGACCAAGCACTTTCAAAGGCATAATTTACACCCCATAACGCCAAGTTTTGTCGAGATCGGTTGAGGTTTGGATATATATCTCACTAACTTGGTGTAAACATACACCAACTTCGCCATGTTTGCCCAATCAAGTTGTCTGATCTGATTTTATATTTGGTATTCAGAAAGTCTGATTTTATATTTGGTATTCTATAGTAACGATAATTGTTACGATTTAGATATAGATTTTCTATATATGAAGAATATATTTGTATATCCTCAGCCATATTGTTATAGAGGGTATATATCATTTGATACGGTCAAAATATGCCTAGTCGAAATAATGGTTCTAGACCCTAGATCTCATTGGACCAAATCCGTTTCAGAACATTTGGAGTCGATCTAGCGATGACCGTCCGTCCGTCTGTCTGGCTGGCTGGTGCGCACGATAACTCTCGAAGGGAGTATCCGATGTGGTGAAAACTTGGTACATCCCATTTTTTTTTGTCAAACTTAGATCGAGTTCGGAGATGGGCAATATCGGTCCACTCCTTTTAGTACCTCGCACACAAAAAGTCGAAATTTTAAAAAAAATATATTTTTTGCACAGAAAGAGAAACGATAATCAGATTTTGCTCCAACTTTGCGAATCGTAATATTTGCGTCAGTGCTAGGTCAGGTGTAAATGGACAATAATATTGGTCCACTCCATCAAGTACCTTCCCCACAACGGGTCAAAATTTTGAATAATTATAACTCTCATAATTAGGTTCGCTTTATATTCCACACATTCCACAATTTCCACTAACAAAAGATCCGTTGTGAAGATGGGATGTATCTGTCCACTTCTTTTGGTACCTCCCCCCATAAAAGCGAAATTGACATCGGATTCTATTTAAGACTTGGTACATCCCAAAATTTCCATTAACACAACAGAGTCTAAACATAGCACGTCGCAATATTTGTATCATATTTATTTACATCCGATACGAAATGGCCAAAATTGGCCCATTCCTTCGGAACCTGATGCATAAGGGTTTAAATATTTGAATAATCATAACAGAAGTCAAAATATTTTTAAATAATCGAACATTGGCTGAGGGTATACATCTGTCGACAAAAACGACCGATACTTTTTTACTTGTTTCTATTGTATATGATCCATATTATTCCCAAATATTTTATTGACGAAAATATTGCAATATGTATCGTTTGAAAAAAATACATATTTCATTTGGTATTGAACTCATACTTTTCTGATTTGTATTCAAGCAAACTACACATCTTCACTAGCAACCAGTTAGAAAGTTTTCGTGGTTGTTCCGACAAAAGCATACCCATTTTTGTATATTTATCCTTCTTAGTAGTAGGGGAGGTACTAGAGGGATGTTCCATGTTCGCACTACCATGTTATTACAATATTCGCTGAGAGGGTTGTAAAAAAAACCTTAATTTCGACCGGGCAGAGCTTTTTATACCCTTCACCATGAGGTAAGGATAGGCTTTAAGAATAAATGCCAAGTGTCATTCAAAACGGTTTGATAATGCATTTAAAGCTTTCAAAATGCCATAAAGTGGACGCTACCGTTATATGGACGCTATACCATTTTTATGACTAAGTTCATAAAATGAGTGTATATCTGGAGGTATAATTATATGGCGAATAAGAAAACAGGCACAAATATGGCCTATTTACGAACTTGACCTTCACATATGTGCAAAATTTTAGTCTTCTATCTCAAGTCTATGTAATTATAAATTATATAATATTTTTCTAATTTTGAAGATCTCGATTCCAAAAGATTCTCAAAAATCGTTGCGTTTTTAACCCTTTGTTTGGAGTATAATTTTGTTTTCATTTTCACTACAAAATTCAAATTTAATATGAGATATTAACATTAAAGATATACTATAATTTTGGGTTTTCATTCTCAAAATCTCCTCTCCCTGTCTCTCTATTTCTTCTTTTTTAATTTTTAGCCTTCTCATATTTATTAAAAAAATTAAACAAATCTTCAACTCACCTCTTAGTTATTCTCGGCCTCAGCGGCCACATAATAGCTATATACCGATCAATTGATATAGCCACCAATGTGTAAGCACTCACCAGTACCGACACAGCTTGCGAGTAGTTGACAAAATGACACAGTGCTATACCAAACGGCCAATAGCCCAATATAAAAGTTGATATGAACGAGGAGGGAACACAAAACAGCGACATCAATATATCACCCATGGCCAGATTTGCTATGAAATAATTTGTGACGGTGCGCATGCGTGGCGTTGATTGGACAATATAGCACACGGTGCCATTACCAAGCAGAGCAAATACAAATATTGGAATGTAGAGGAGATAAACCGCCGTTATGAAGTAAACTGATGACAAAGTGTCACCATCGCCGCCATCATCTCCACAGGCGTCAAGAGACCATGTCTCATTCAACTCCATATCAGGGTGGCATTCGCCCTCACAGTTGGCGGCGGCATACATGGAAGTGCTGACATTGTGGTCACCACGCAACAGTCGGAAGCTTTCGTTTGTGTGTTGTGTCACTTGATGCGATATCGATGAAATCGTTGTGGTCGTCACACTGGCCAACGATTCTAACAGATGATACGTGGATGTGGAGGTTGCAGTTGTGTTGTCCGAGCTCGAATATTCACCATAATCTATATCGGACTGCGTTCGAACATCCATGCCCATGTCTGAGTCGAATGCTTCCAAAAGTAATTGCTGTTGGGGTTCTATGAAATACAGGTTGCTATCGCCACCGTCAACGATACTGCCTTCCCTGTCACTTTGTTGAATTGCATTCGTTATGCTTAAATTTGTTGTTGTCGTCGTTGTCGTGATGTTTGTTTTGTGTTGACCAGCACCACCCCCATCGCCATCACCGCCACTCGTGCTGCGATACCTTCTCTTTACTGTGGCCACATTTAAATGAGGCAATATACTACGAGCCATATACTCTCGCAGAAAGTATTCCATTTCGTTGTCGGTATTAAATATAAACAGCAGCTCAAGTGCAATTAGGACCTTCCTCTGCTGCGGCTACGGATGCTGCTCCTGTTTATGCAGTGGCCAATTATTCGTCCCACTTGTTATTCCTGGTTATTAAAGTGGAAATTTTTGCTTCAGCAGATAGTGTTACTGCTGATGTCGGAATGTTTGCTCAGCGGAAAAGTGTGTTACAACATTTTTAATTGCAAATTTCACAAAATTAAAGAGTACGGTGACCGTTGGATCTACTCCGAGATTAACCGCACAAATTCATAAACTTTCTGTGTTTATGACATTAAAGCATTGCAGGTTGATGTTGATGTTGTGGTTTTTCCATTTTCCAATAATTGGCTTTTTAACAACATATTTAATGCGTGCGAACAATATTCTGGCTGTGATATAGGTTTCCTATTTCATATTGTCTTTGTTTGTTTCACCTCTTTGGACGGGTGAAATTTCTTTGGGGACACACTGTGGTAACTGTGTTTTAATTCTGTGCAATGTTAAGTTGTTGTTGTGGTTTATACAGCCACTTTAGGTTTCACTCTTCCTTGGGTAAGGGCTCTTAAAAGTGAATCGCTTATTTCATTTCTAACAATTCTGATTTTCTTTTCTCCAAACTGGCATTTGAGAGTTTAGCTGATCGCTTTCAATCAGTTGAATGAGATTTCCCAATTCAATTTTCCATTTCACATCGTTTGTTAAATACCTGAAAATGGATAAAAAAAACAATCAAAAATGAGCGAATATCAAATATATGATTTTAGTTGACAAATGCAGAAATTACTATGGTATTTAACAGGTATTTACACATGCCTTTAATAAGGCATTAACTAATATTCTTTTCGATAGGGAACTCTTATAAAAGATTATTTTTTCGATAGGGAACTCCTGTAAAAATTGTATAAATAAGATTTGATATTTAGAGTTCATAGTAAGTAACAAGTAAAAAAGCAACTAAGTTCGGCCGGACCGAACTTTTAATATCCTCCACCATTTGGAAGAAACTTGAAAATTATCAAAAAAATTCCGTCAAAAAATACCGCTCAAATTATACCGTTATATTTTGGCTATACGAAGACGTGGTTCTGCATAAGTAATTTGTGTCATAGGTTGTAGTAATGGTTCCAAATTTTAGATACGAAATTTGTGACAATTCTGGGTATCATTATACGGGCGCTATACTAAAACGTGGACCTATTTGGACAATTTTCTTGTAGGGGGTAAAGAACTCAGAAGCAACACCTTGTGTGGATTTAAAGACAATTCAATAAAACATTTGGCTGAAATCATCGAAATACCGAATATCTGGGGGGGGGGGGGGTGGCGTTATATTGGGGATATTCGATATCGAGGACCTATAAACACAATTCTCTTTCAGGGGGTAGAGTACTCATAAAGAACTCTTTTGTTGGAATACTAAAATTATAAAAATACCGAATATAGGGGGGTACCGTTATATGGTATATCGTGGACAAAAATATGGGCCATCTTCGAACTTGACTTGCCTGCAGACAATAGGCCGACTGTGTAAAAATTTACTTTCCTATCTTTATTCGTTTTGACAGCAGCGTGATTACAACAGACGGACGGGCAGACGGGGCTAATTCGTCTTAGAATTTTACGCTGATCAAGAATATGTGTACTTTGTTGGGTCTAAAATAATTATTACGATGAGTTACAAACGGAATGACGAACTTAATATACCCTCCATACTATATATAGTGGACGGTATAAAAAGCGTACTTAGGAAAATTCGTCGATGTAGGTCCACGTGAATTAAATTTAGCGTAAGATATGGAGATGGACAAGACTTCTCCACAATTTGTGGACATAGGCCCAGTTTCTTTAGGGTGTTATGAAAGTTTCGATCCTATTTTCAAACGGAATTAATTATTATTTGGTATTCTAATGTCGCCGCTCGAGTTTAGGTATTTAGTGTGTTCAGAATATAATAGTACGTTTTCTCATTCTTTTTAAGCACTCCATATGAAGTCATGGAAGAAACATTCTGTTGTTCGCAGTTCAACGACATATTTTGAATTCAAGTCATTTAATTCATTGTAGGTAAATATATAAATATTATTTAAGCTAATAAATCTAATAAGAAACGAGCAAAAACAGATAACTACGGCCGGGCTACCCAAAGAAAAACATTTTATATAAAATAATCTGGATTCAACGTTTCCCACTCTAAACTGCTGGACCCAACATCTCTTTAAGCAAATTCAACTTTAGGATTTTCAGTCTCTTTTAACAAAGCCAATTTTGGGATATTCGGAATCGAGTATAACCTAATATTCTTATCAAACTTAGATCCAATTTGAGGATGACTATATTGTTAACCCTTTTAGTAACCCACACACAAATGGTAAAAATTTTCCAATAACAAATGACCACTCTATATAAGTCTGGAAAAAAATCAGCTTTATATGAACTAGAAATTCCGCTGTTTACTTTGAAGCAGCCCATTTAGAGTTATGGAGCAATCCTTTCATTTCTACATTTTAATGGTATCTATACATACCCTTATAAAAATGCAAAATGTGCGGTCGGAATTGAAAATAGACTGCATCGTTGAACACCTTTTTAAAAATCAAAATTTCTTCCATGAAAATTTACAATTTCTCCATGAATGGTAATGATTTCACTACTTCTTATGCTTTATACCAATTGTTGGGTATAAAAGAGAAATGTGATTGTCAAATTTATCTGCGCCCGGAAAAGGTTAAAGTTAGAATAAGGAAAATTTTGAATTATGGGAACGATTGCCGCTATGGGGTTCGATAAGAAGTAACTTTTGCAAATTTGAATTAGAGGGGATGGGAGTGGAACCAAAAGGGTTCGTAAAGTACCTTAAGCCACCAAAAATTGGACCAATGGTATTAAGCAATCGGACGCAAAAAATACTAAAATATATTTAAAAATGGAGGCTTCTTTTAAACCATTTATATCTGCTGTAGTTTTTATATTCACTTTTTAATAATTAGAAAATTTTACCTGGAGAGAATCTTCAATGATGCCCACAATTTACAAAACAGATCCAAGCAGGACATTTTGTTGTAGACAATTCAACTGGTTTTTCGACTAAAATCAAGATGGACAATTTTTTCTTAATAAAGTTATGAGTATTTGAAAAATAGTTTTTACGCCGTCAGAAAATTTATTTGTAATTTTTTTTACAAATTTTCCAAACGCTCGTATTCAAAATATAAATTTTGTATTGAGGTTGCTTGATTACAAACAGTTTTTTTTTTATTTAAAGGGTTGTTTTACTTCAACCTGAACTGGAGACAAAAATATAATTACGTATTCTACTTTCTACCGTCAGTTTTAAGGGCTAAGTACATAAGAAGCTTGAAGTCATTGCTAGGCATATTAATGCCAAATTATAATGGAAAACGACGGCTGGATTTTAGTGCGGCTCTGTAATCCCTTTGTGAAATGTCACAAAATATGCCTAGCCATGACTTCGAGCTTCTTATGTACTTAGCCCTTTGGAATATATTCCTAATCCTCAAAATATTCTTCTAAAAACCCATACAATATATTATTACGATTTAAAGTATTTTCAAAGTCGCAAAAGCTCAGATGATATATTGCGGTACAATTTCAAAACAAATTGGTTTAATTTGGCCTTTAGTTGAATTTGCATTCATCCCACAAATAGTTTCATTATAAAATAGTGGTATCATTATGATCACGTATCGGTTTCGCACATTTTATAGCTTTTGTCGGTCTTAAATGTATTTTCCAGACCATTGAAGTTTTGAAGATGGTCTAGTTTTTTTCAAGACTTTATTGATTTTTTAACAAAATAGCTTCACTAGTATTTTTACAGATTTTTTTCCTCAGTCATATATACAATTTGATACGGCCAAACCGTGCCCCATCGAAATAACTGTTTCAGATCCTAGGTCTTTTTGGATGAAACCCGTTTCAGGACATTTGTCTGTTATAACTCTAATAAAATACGGAATAAATATCAGTTTCTCCTCCAACGCAATATTTTTATTAACACAAGATCAGATATGAAGATGACAGATAACGGCTTACCCCTTATGGTACCTCCTCCATAAAGGGTCACAATATTTAAATGCTTATATATCTCATAACTTGCCAAACAATTCAGCGATTCTATTCAAACTTGGTATATCAATTTTTTTGGCATACAATTGGCAATAGATGTCTGATTTTTTTTTTATTTTTGCAGATTCCAATATTCTTATCAGTATTAGATGAAGTGGAGCACTTCGGTCCATTACAACTGGCAATTCACGCATATTTGAACGTTTTCCAAAAATGAAAAAAAGTCGAAATATTTGGACATAAGCTGAGGGTATACATCCGTCGGCAAAAGCGACTAATACTTTTTAATTTGTTTAAGTAACAGTAAAACATTAATAAACAAGTAAGCAAAGGCTATAGACGTGCGGGACCGAACATGTGATACCCTACAACACTACAATATGTTAGAAGCCCCCTTATGTCCAAATCCAGTTTGGAAGATTTCGCTTTTGAAATTATGTCACGGAGCACTGCCCAGATATTACTAGCATTTTGACCAGGGACATTTAACCAATATTTACGAACTTCGTCGTGCTGTTAGTTGTAGTGGTCCATTTTACAGCTAAATATAATCCAATGGCCATACATAATGCTAGACTTCTTCCCTGTCCCTAACTTTCTTCTCAGGCGTGTCGATTGGCTTCAATTGTGTGATCAGGAAATTTTCCCTGTTTTTGAATATTGTGCGATCATCTCCAAAATTAAGAGGCCCCTCTGTATTTCTAAATTTAGACTCATCTATATGGTTTGCTTGTCTAGGATATTTGGCTATATTCGTCAACGAAATCAGCAAAAAAAGGCAGAAGTTCGCATTTTGTGTATTTGGGCCATCACCTGTAAGTAATGTTGGTATTTTTCAGACAAAAGTAGTGGTTCATTCTACCCGCTGTCCTAAACTCTAACTTCATGCGAGATTTCGTGTCCATTCGTTTCTATTTGTGACCTTTATAACGGCTGCAAAATCAGGAACATTTTAGTTATTGGTCCATTTCAACCCCTAAATATATTGCGGACATATTTGAAAACAATAGGCCTAGCCCTTCTGAGCCTAACCCTACCCTTTTCGTGAGGATCCGACGATAATTGCAATCTGTATATAATATCCCAAACCTGTGTTGTAAGGTGTAAAAATATTACAAAATCTATACCTTAATATTATAAGTCAAAATGAAAAAATGTCACAAAATACTACAAAAACTATATTTTTGACTTATTTTTATGCGATTTTTTTTAGATTTTATATTTTTATGTCAAGAGCGCGTTCTGAATTGGCCATTCTTGAGATATAAGCATTCCGTCTAACATTCCTTTCCTTTGTATATACACATTGTATATATTTCGCTATATATATCCGATATATTTACTATCGTTATCTACGTAACGGTTAGAATTGAACTGTTCATCTATTTATGATTATTCTATTCGCGGTTAATGGAAATTTGACTTTTATTTAACACAAATGTATAGTCTTTTTCACCCACTAAATATTACCCGATGCCCAGCCCGAAGCTCTAGCCCCATGCTAATTTCCGCGTCGATTGGTCCATAATTGCGACCAGTAGATCAACTGTAAAATCAAGAAATTTTTCAGTTTTTGGCCCATTTCGACCCCTAAATATTATGCAATCATCTCCAAAAGAA